TTTTTATTTTTGCTCTCTTTCTATCTAAAAAGGAATGGAACCTAACGAAAGGCAGCAGCACCACCACCACCAAGACCATCTCACTTCTCCTTACTACCTTCCTTTCCATCACCACAACCACATTCCGACCACCGTCTCCGCCGCCACTTCCGCCGAAAACTCGATTCCTTCCTCCAACAATGGGAATTTGCAACCTCCCAACGATGTCTCGTCCGCCGTTTACCCTCACTCGGTTCCGTCTTCGGCTGTGACGGTTCCGATTGATCCCGTCAAGCGAAAGAGAGGTCGTCCAAGGAAGTACGATACGCCTGCACAAGCTTTAGCCGCTAAGAAATTGGCATCTTCTGCTAGCAATTCCTCCGCCAGAGAGAGGAGAGAGCAAGCCGCCGCTGCTGCTGCTGCCTCCGGCGCTTCCCCTTCCGGTTCCAGAAAATCCCTTTTGGGCTCTGTCGGTGGGTAACTCTCACTCTCTCTTTTCGGATTACAAAACCCTTTTCTCGTTGGAGAATTTTATCCCAACTATTGATTTTTCTGGTGATATCTTTGATCTGGAATGATGAATTCTTCGATTTCTTTGTTAATTTCAATCTCGTTCCAAGGATGATATGCAAAGTAAACATTCTTAGTTTTGTTATATCTTTATATGTAAGTTTCACGAATACACTCTGTGTGTCTGCAAATGTGTAATCAAAAAGCCTTGTCTTGAAGCCACATTGAAGAATGGATAGATTCTTGTTTCTAGTATTGCATCATTTTGCTGTAATTGAGGGCATTTGTTGGAAGGACTAATTATCTAAATCTTGAGATACTCAATTGATCTTCTCTTTTGTTGAAATGTTTTGTATTGACATGCCATTCCAGTGCTGCATTCATGGCTTTATTCAATTCTGTCTATAAGATCACTTGAGCACCAATGTATATTCTAGTGTACTATATACTCTTCTTGCCATTGTCATTTTTTGAGCTTCACGTAATATATATTCTTGTTGCAGGGAAAACTGGGCAAAGCTTTACTCCGCACATTGTTAATATAACTCCTGGTGAGGTGAGTATGCTTCTATGATACTACTTTCAAGGCCTTCTTTTGATAGTATGATTTGGTTAACACTGCAATTCTATTTGCTTAGATGCAATCTAGAATCCGTTGTAATTGACTTTTGCGGAACTCATTTACGAAATATTCTGTTTTTTCGTTGATGCTTAGTACAAATTGGGTCGATTTAGCTGATTTCTTATGTGCTTTTTTGTGGATAATTTTATAAGGATGTGGCCCAGAAAATTATCCTTTTCGCTGAGCAAAGCAAGCATGATTTATGCATTCTTTCTGCATCGGGCACCATCTCTAATGCATCCTTGTCCCACCTGGCATCAGGAACCAGTGCATCTTACGAGGTGATTCTCTTGTTGCTATCTATTCTCTCTAAACTAGTTTTTGAACTGGCTTCGTGAAAAGGATTTAACAGTTCAGTTATAGACTTTGGAAAGGGCTATCTGTTTTGCTCTAAAAGAAATGACCTTGAGCTGGTAATCAACTAATTCTCTGTTCACTGAAGATTTTCTTGGGAACTGTTTAATTTACCTGCCGGTAGTTTCAGAACCCTTGTGTCAAGTACAATATGTGTTTTAGCTGTAACTATCTGTTCGTTACAATTGAAATTTAGTACGAGTTAAAATAATCTTACTTATTACTTCTGACATACATGCTTGAGAGCTGGCATATGAACATTAACTTGCTTCAGAATTACAAACTTTTATACAGGGTCAGTATGAAATCCTCTCACTGAGTGGATCTTATATTCGGGGTGAGCACGGTGGTAAAACTGGTGGCCTTAGCGTTTGTTTATCTAGTTCAGATGGTGAGATCTTTGGTGGAGGAGTTGGGGGACTTCTACAGGCTGCTGGTCCAGTTCAGGTACCTTTCCTCCTATATTGTAGTTAAATTTACATATCTGCATAAATTACCAACTATCTTACTGGTTAACATTTGCCTGTGAATACTAAAGTTTGTCCGGATACTTCTACCACAAACTCACCTGAAATTAGATATGAAATTCATCGGTTCTTTGCCAAGTTTGAGAGAATAGTCTCTGATTCTGGCTTTTGTTTCCCCTACAGGTGATTCTTGGTACATTTAAGGTAGAGAGAAAAAAGGATGGAAGAAATGGTGTGAAAGGAGATGACGCTTCGGGCAGCGGAAACATGTTGCCTTCTCCTCCCGGCACAGAATCTTTGCTTGGCTTCCATTCTGGAATGGAATCTTCCAGAAGAAACCCAAACAATGAACATCATGCTATTAGTAGTAGTGCATTGGGTAGTGGAGCTCATTTCATGATGCAACCACCTCAAGGCATGCACATGACACATGCCCGGCCTTCTGAATGGGGCGGTGCTGGGTATGATTTGTCAGGTAAAAAAACCACTTTTCTCATCTATTTGGGCATGTTTGGTTTATGCAGATTGATACATCAATACTTAGCTACTGTGTTCTATATACCATTTACTATAGGAGTTGAGTATTTCAAGCCTAGTAATACTGTTTTTGTTTCTGGTTTGGACTATTATGGTGGCCGTATGGATGTTATGTTCTGCAGGACTCAGAGGAAATGGGTCATCAGAAAATGGAGATTACGAGTAAATTGCAGATTAGTACACTGATTCAAGTTTCCAAGAAGTGTGTAGGGTTTTAGAATCGAAACTGAAGTTGAGCATGAATCAAGGTGAGAGTGGACTTATCATCATCATATAATGTCTGAAGGA